TTCCTACGGAAAGAGCATGTGGACAATCCTTTAACGTATAAAAACGTGTTGTTACCTGATAATGACCCTTGGAGATTTAAGGCTTTCGAACTTGGCTTAACTCCCCCCCGTGGCAAACTGGATCCTTTCAGGTGCATCGATGACATGTTCTTTGAACTCTTCTGGCATCGTGCGGAAGGAAATTAAGTTTCTACCAGCCCCTGTATCCAAAAGAAACTCTTGATTCACCTCAGGCACAACTGGACCGACACAGGCTGCAATGGCTGAGAACACTTTAACGGCTTTTTCGAACATTACGACTCTTGGGACTTTGAGTCTGGGATTTGGCTTTTGAGGTTGCGACTTCAAAAGCTCCCTGCATGCACATTTGGCTTTATTAAACGCCCCCTTGGTAAAGGCCTCACCCTCTGAAGGTTGTGCAACTCTCGGCTGCTTTTCCGACTCGGATGAATTGACCCCAAACTTCCCACCCTCGGCCTGATGCGGCGCATGAGTGCGGCTCACATCTTGACCGGAGCAAGGTTGGACCTGGGATGCCACAACAGTCGCGGCTGCTGCGCCGCACTGGAAGATGTGCCCTTTCCAGCAAGGCCCTTAGGCTTACCCCCCTTATACAGGTTATTGGGGTCATGGAGATACGGACATTCGTTTCATCTGTTGCAACTATTGTACGCGTAATACATACATGGTAATTTCTTTCTGTCACCCTCTTTTACCTTTTTACCCTTTGGACTCTTGTCATCCTTTTTATCACCCTTACCTGAGCTTTTGCCTTTAGCAACGGCAGCTTGAACATTTGAAGGTTGTGCAGCCTTTGACTGCTTTTCCGACTTGTCCTTGGGCTCCCTTTTGTTTTTGTCAGGTTTGTCAGGCTTAGAGTCTTTCGTGTCCTTTTGTTTGTTTTTGCTTTGGTCATCCTTCTGCTTCTCCTTGATCGGCTTCGAAGGTGCTGCATTTGCATCCTTGCTGGGTGTTGCAATGTTTGCCAAGGACTTCTCAATGCTAGCTGTATTCTCCTCCAACTGGTGGATTTCAATGGCTTCTACGAGTTTATCATATAACCAAAGATAGCTACGCTTTGATGATGTCCCGGAAGAATTTCTAAATCTGTCGATGGCCAACTGCAACTTGGGGTGAGATTTCAACTGCTAAAACAAGAGGCTCCTAAGTGACGAATCTGAAGGCCGATCACTGACCTCCAAGGCTTGCCAAATGAAGTCAAACTTGTTACGGAAATCTTCGAGTGCTTTGATGTCTGAACCCTGCATTTTCAAATTGAGAAGATGACTTTGAGTAAGGGCTACGCCACGATCTCTTTCCATCTTATACTTCTCAAAAATGATCCAAAGCAACTGCCTCCCTTTAGGTTGCTTGTGTTTCCTTTGGGATGACTCCTGCATGGTCTGGAAGTGCATAGCGAAGCGAGTATTTTCACTTAATTCCAGCAACTTGCTGCTCAAGACACGGTCCAACAGCGGAAACGGCAATGAATCATCCAGGGACTCAAACGCCTTTGGCTTTACGCACTCTTCTATCCATTTAAAAACATGCTCTTCATCCCCTTTTTAGCCAGTTTACAGATTAGGTTAAACACCGAGTTTCTAAACGCCCTCGCATCTGATGCCGATTTGGGGAGGTTAGGGATCTTCAGATGATCGTACTGTTTGATCCGCATGATTTTCTTTTCATACTTATATGGATCTACAACACGACTCCGATCGCTTGAGGATGTTGCCCCAGAGGCGTTCGACCCCCTTGGCGGAGTGGGTGGACCACTTCCACCACCCCTGCTCCCCTTACTGCTAGACGACGATGATGACGAACCAGGTGGTGATTTTGGAGGGGTGGCTATGTCATACTCTCTTGAAGTATTGGGTGACCCTTTATTGGAACCATTCCCTTTTGACTTTTTACCGCCCCCTTGATTTGATGCAAAGCTGTGAACAACTGGTGCTAACATTTTAACCTCTGCAACTAACCCTTTGAGTTGGGCATCCTTTGGACTTTCCCCGCGTTGCGAAGGCGAAGCAAACAACTGAACTTGTTGGTCTTGCACCGGGCTTGCAACACTCCCTGAACCAGAACTGTGACCCGTCTGTCCTCCGGTGCGCAAGCGCATCTCGGAGTCCCGACTTAGTCTTGACTGTCCGATTCCTGAAGCGACAGGCAATTGCAATGGCATTTGAACATCCGTACCGTCAGCGGCTCTAGATGTTGGGCTCATACCCAAGTTACTTTGCAATTTACTTAACAACGACTGCTGCTCATCAACCCTTTGAGTCAAAGCATTGATCATTTTTATTTGTTCCACCGATTTCATGGACAACTCCCCATTGATACGGACCAGTTCAGTGATTTTACCTTCCAAACTTGACACCACAGACTGAGCTTCGAATTTAATCCTTTGGACCTCGGCTCTAGCTTGGGACTTAGCACTCTCAATCTCTTTTGAAGCGTCTTGGGCAATCCGGCTTGCACCCGCCCTGTTACTTTCTGAAGTTGAATGGACTGAGCTTGGGATTCCGAAATTGCCCTTTGGGCCTGAGACTGAAAATGTTCCAAGTACTGCATAGCTTCTGTCCTAGTGGAAGTCTGGATATCTTCAACCATCTGAGTTGCTTGTACCTGGAAAAATCTTTGGGACTCTTCCACAGCTTGGATGGCTTGGGGTTTTAAACTACTCCTAGCTTCCTCCACAGCATGTGCGGCTTGTGCAACCACAAAAGGATCCATTGAAACATTCAATTCATTTTTGATGAACGTGGGACCCTGGGATTGACCCTGGCTGGACGCGGCTCCCTGCTGACCCGACCTGGTGGATTCATACTGGCCATGAAACGGATTCGAATGAACATGATCTTGTGCTTCTAGCTGAACAGCATTCATATTTGGTGCAATCAGCGGTGAAGATTGCACGAGGAGATCCCAAAAACTGAGACAAAGTTTCTGGACTTTTATGAGGATCACCCTGGATGTCTAGGGTTCCCCTAGCTTCCCCCACGGCATGAACAGCAATCCGATTTTCTGGAATAGCATCGATTGGGATGGTCTGACGGGATTGGCAATTGATTGTGCCGCACCCACTTCTAAACCCCTTTGAGATCTAGAACGTTCTGAACTTCCTTCTTGTGAGCTCTGCATTGTGATTTTGGGTTGGTTTGAGAACACCTACACTCTTCCCTCCAAAGACCTTTAATCCTGGAATGGAGCACAAGTATGTCAACACTCTTACCACCAAGAATCCTTGACCCTGGAATGGAACACAAAGACAATTCCTACACTCTTGAATGCCGGTTGCCTGAATGCTCTTACCACCAAGTATCTTAGACCCCTGGAATGGAGCGCAAACGCTTCTCACCACCTTTTCACTTACCGGTGCCTGTCACGCAGGGCAAACGTTCCAGAGGAGCCGCGCAATCCAGCAGATAGTGTTGCACGGTCTCAGCTGCTGGGCACTTTGGCTTGCGTCTGATATGTATGTGGCACGTGTGGACTTCTTCAGAGTTCTCAGTAATCACTTCATGATTATCATCAACCAAAGCGCAAGGAATTGGATCGTTGAGGGTATAGCTCTTGATTGTAGCTGCCTTCCCAACGATTCCACAGCTTTCCCTGGTCACGCAAATCGATGTGATGAGTCCTTCGTCCGCAATCTGTCTGTATTGATTGCAAATTCGAAGTAGGTTGTCCTGATTTTTGCTTGAATGTTCTATATGAGAAACAATCACGATTGACAAAGCGTCTCGATGACCCCACGTCTGCTCAGCCGCCTCTTTAAGACGTTGCAAGAACGTAATGGGGTCCTGCGGAGATGTGTGATTCCAAGTCTTTGAACTTGGTGCCAGTCAAGAAAAAGAATGAACTTTGGATATTCCGGAGAGTCCGCTTTGGCGTATGTTTTGTAGCCGCGATACGCACTGTAGGTTTGAAACCTCCTTGAAGTTCACTCCCACAGGATCCGGGCCAGAGCCAATGTCTTCAGCCTTGTTGCCGCGATCGAACCAAACCACCGTGTCCGGAAGATAAAGTCGAGGCCTCAAGATTCTCTCGATTGCCTTCGCAGCTGGCTTTGCACGAGCTCCTAACTGATGTGTTCCACTAGATTTTGCCTGTGGCACAACAGATGACGATGATGAGCCTGTTGGGTAACCGAATGGTCCTGATGCTTTCGAAGTCGAGCTTTTGCAGCTGCCCCCTCCAAGATCTGAACCGGTTCCGATGCTTTCGGAGTTGGGCGAGCTTTTACAGCTGGCGTTTCCAAGATCTGAACCTCCTCCTGATGAAGATGTTTCGACTTCCCAAACGGTTGCTCCTTGCAACACCGAGTTACTAACCTGAAATTTCCACTGCTTTGCGTATTCAAGCCCGTCCCGAGTTACAAATGGATATCTCCCTTGATAGTACCCCTGAGCGATCCCCTCGTTGATATGCCGAACCTTTGTCGCAAGACCTCTTCGTCCACCTCTCGGCGCCCTGATCGATCTCCACAAGACGTCCGGGATCTGAAGTTCGCGATAGGTTCTAGAGTTTCGTCAAGGTACTCCTGGTCGATGACACCACTAGATGTAGTTATTGCGACAGCCCTACGGCTGATAACCAAAAAAGATTCTCTCAAAGAATCTGATGGCCAAACCACGCACCCTGTTTCACACTGGACAAATTGCGATCTTGAGCCAAACATAATGGTCATGGGAACCCTTTAAGTTGACCCTGACCGGCTGGATGTTTGGCAGATGCTTGAATTAGTCAAAACAAGTGGACATGCATTAATGTCAGTACGGGCAAACTGGATTCCAGGGTCAATGTACTTTAACATGACCTCATGCAGTGGTTATGAATTCCAGTCTACATTGATTGCTGTGGAAGCACTTGTTGGTGATACTACATTGCACTACGTGAGGAGGCATTTTACTTGTAATCTTTCTTCTTAGAATGGGATAAATATCTGGAAAACTATAAGAAGCACCATTGTCAGCACTTCAGTCGCACTGCCAAGCCACAGGCCCAGGATAGACCAGCACCAAGAACCTGTGACCCATTCCAATTTGAAATACGCAGGACTTTTGACAATACTAAATGTGTTCAAGAAATGGCGCTGATGTTTGAAACCAATCCAAATCCTGCTCAAATCCGGCTCAAATTAGCAAACCTACGCGCGCCACAAAACTGGCAGAATACATGCAGGAAAATACTGACTCAAAACCAACTGTTTGAAAACACCATCTTCGCAAACATAAAAAAAACATTAAATAGTATATGATATTATACGGCATTTTTCTTGGGGTGACCAGAATGCGATGGTGTCATGCGCAAAACCAGGGTGGTGATGGCCCTTTGAAGCGACATGCGGCAGCGGCCAGGAATGCAAACTCTTCAAGGAGGAACGCTTACCAATGTGGCCATCAAACAAAGAGGCACGCATACATACACATGCACGCGCACACACACACACATGCACATACACAAATGCGCATGCACATACACATGCACATACGCATACACATGCTAATGCACATGCGCATACACATACGCACACACACACACGCGCACACAAACACACGCACTTGCTCAGAACAATCATTGCGAATTCTGATGTGGAATGCATCTTACGTGCAAAAACTCTCCAGTTATACCTGACGGGAACGGGTCCATGAAAAGACGCGAGAAAAATCAAAAAACTACATAGAGCTACCATCGCCATAGTCTGAGCTAGAGGAAATGGGTTGGAACGAGACACTTCTCCTTTCAACAAAGCCACATCGTTCCCATGACAGATTGCGAAAACTGTGCAACACGAGAAAATTGAAAACAAGTAAGTGGTTTGGAAACAAGTGGCTTGGAAACGGCACGGTGGTTCTTGGGTTCGCCACGTCCCATTGCAGACATAATTGACATGAAAAAATGAAAAAGTGGAGCAGGTACGTCGATGAGCGTCCCCATCGATATCACAGGCAGCTGATGAGTGTCTTTGTTAGTGCCGGTCTCATCAGTGCCCCCGGCACCCCCTGCTGTTGAAAACTAAATAAAAACCCATCAGTGCAAAACCTGAACGACGACGACTAGAAGTTTTGCATTTATTCAGATGTTTCACACACACGCCCCGCTGCCGCGGATTTTTTTTGGAAGATGCATCGAGTAATCGAATGCAAGCTATGATTTGGTCATCTGGGTTCGGATCATTTGATCAAAATGCCAGAGACAAGGTAATGAATTGGATCTTTAAGGGATATGACTTAATCATGAACCGGCTCATCACTCATGGGATGTCACGGTCGAGCTCGCCAGAGATGTCCGAGAGGTTGTCGTCTGGATTGGCACGTCGAGCTAAGATGTTGGTGGTGATCGCCAGATGGCTGCCAAGATGAGCGAGTTCTTTAGCTGTAAACAGCCTTAAGTTGCTCTCTGCCTGGTTTTCCGGCTGAGCTTGGAGAATCTCAAGGATCGGGGCATTGACCTCAGGATCCTGCATCAGTGCATCATAAAGGATAGGGGCTAACTGGCTGGGGACAGAAGGCGTTTGGTCTCCCGGATGTCCCATAGAGGACGTATCATCCGCATCGTTGTCTTGCGGTTCATCACCCTCTGGAGGATCAGAAGCATCATGGATAGTGAGTTGCTCATGCGGCTCAGTTGAGGCATATGGAATCTCCTCAATGTCAAAGTATCTGCACCAGTAGTTGGCCAGATGTGACGCTTCTTTCCATCCGTTGATTCGATATCGCCACCTGTTGTTCACATGACCAACAATTCCATGGAAGAAGAACTCTGGGCGTCGCAATCGCTCGGTGCCTGCGGCATTGATTTGTGTGACCATGAGCTGTCTTTGGATGTTGGGTTCTTGTCCAACATCCACTTGCTTGAAGACTTGGGTGTGGAGCACCCTGTGATTTTGATGCATCTCGCTGTGGAAATGATATGTGGGAGCCGTGTTCCACGAGTCATCGCTTCGAGGCATAGGGCCCCTTTCCATCTCCGTCGTGTAGTTGTACGTGGGTCCAGTAGTTGCCGCCGGTGTTTCATGAGAGCCCGAGAATGGCCATCCATGTCCTGATGAGGAAGCGGCAGCAGAAGATGAAGGACGGTGACGGGTGGTGCTCATCGGGGTTGACCAAGAGTCCATGCGGAGGTTTCGCGGAGAAGCCAAGTTTGCCATGGACGGATCGCGTTTGGTCATGTTGAGAGCTGAAAAGGTATCCGATCAGAAAATTGAAGCCGAAAAGAACAACAACATCAGGTTGGGAAAGGACAAAAAAAAAGAAACTAACTATATAATGACAGCAGCCGCGCTTTTGTTTTCCGACTGTGAGCATTTATGGAAGGCAATTGGGTGGCAAGGCTTTATGGCAGCTCAACCGCATGATATATGGTTGAGTAGGGCTAGAAAAGGCAATAAGCCTGCCAAAAATGCCTATATCCCGGGCTTGTGCTCAGTTGGCACGATTCTCCAAAAGAAGGTGGCTAATGATGTGCTGAGGACGGAGTGCGAAGGTGTTGCCCGTTTGGTCACTCTAACGGAGATCCATGGTGTCCGCCGTCAATGTTGACGCCCCATGTATTATAAATGTATTGGCTGATATTGTACAAAATGTCACCAACTGATGTGGTTTGGATTTGGCTAGGGTTCAGAAGCCGAGCGTAGGTGAACAACGCCATCTCTTCAGGGGCCCGAAGATCGGAGAGATTTTCACAGGAAGTGGCGGGCATAGCATCCGAAAATTGTTCTTCCATCAGTTGTTTGGTTTGGGTAAGATCAGCCAGAATCAGGACTTGACGGATCCGGCGAAGAGCCGGTGTGTAGTTCCATCTTCCGGTCGGGTAGGGTCATGTGGGCGGTCAGGGTTAGGGTTGCCCCACATCCGACGGTAGTCATCATCCCGAGATCGAGAGCGATCACGGACCATGGCGGATCAAATGGATTGGGAATTGAGCCAGGCTGAGACAACAAAGGAAATAAGTTAGGACAAGGCAGAAAAAGAAAAAGACAAGTAGAGTCGTAGAGTAAAAGCAAATAAAATTGAAATAAGTAGCAGCGCAGGTCTGTTTTCTTTTTGTCCCGCTGACATGGTTAGTCTTCAGCTTCCGCTCCCGGTTCGGTGCGGGGATTGAGTTCAGGCATGTTCTGTTTCAGTACAAGCCGACGTGCTTTGCAGGCTTCTGGGTCCCACTTGAGGCGAAACCCGATTGTTTTCCATGCGGGTCTGGCCCGTGCGTCACTCTTAAAAGTGACCAGTTCATGATCTTCGGCGTCCGTCCAAGGACGTAGGTGGTGGTTGACAGAAGATCTGGGGGGCACCGCAGGGTTTGTTGGTGCTTCGGCCGGCAAGGAGGCAGTTACTGACCGTTCCAGTGAAGGTGATGGTCTTGGAGGAACAGCGACAGGAGCACTTGGATTGATAGAGGCCGGAGGTGCAGGTGAAGTGGCCGGTTCTAAGTCAGAATCGTCGGATGTTGGACCCTCCGGAAGATCACGAATGATCGGGAAAGTTGGGGTGGTGGTTGTGACTGGTGTCGATATTGCCGTTGGCTCATGTGTTCGTTGCTTTTTATTTGGACGGGCTTCCGATTCATTGTTTCTGGGATGGCCCGGTTCCATTGCTTTGAAAGATCTGCGAGACTCCCGCTCAAGGTCAGTCGCTGGTGTACCGACAATAGATGCGGCCGGTAAGCGGGCAGGATTGGATGACTCCGCACGAGCCGAGGCGGAGTGTGGTGCAGTGGCTGGGCGAGTCTCTTCAATTGGATACGGACCTCTGCGGATCGACAAGGGTAAGATTTGGTTCTGGATTGATGACCATATGGGTAGGAATTCCTCCGTGTGACACAAGCGAAGGGATAGCCGACGAGGAAGGAAGTGGCACAAATGTATGAAGATGGCGACCCGGATGGGGATGGGATATACTGGCGGCTGGCGCGACGGTAAAGGTGTCTCATGATCATCCCAATCCACTGCTGGTTCGAAAAATGGGAGAAAGCCCGCAATGCTGTTCAAGTGCATGAGTGCTCGGGCGAGATGATAATGAATCTCACGGCAATGAGAGGACTCCATTTTTTGTCACAGGCATCACAGGCAAAGAAATATGTGAGCGATTTTGAGCCAGAAACTAAAACAGGAGGCAAAAAACAATGGAAAAGGAACAGAAAAAGAAAAAGAACCAAAAGAAAGGAGAAAAGAAACGGCGCAAAGCACAACCAATGGAAAAAAGGATTTCAATCATGATCAGGGTGTAGAGCTGCATCAGTGGGTCCACGCCTTGACGGACTCAGTATTCTGGGAAGGCACCTTTGACAACGATGTGGCAGCTGGAGCGAAAGCCACTGAGAAGAACTTTGGGTGGTGATGCTGAGTATGGTGATATAGGACCTGTGAGATGTTGGTGGGTCCATTGTATATCAGCTCCGGGGGTTGTGTTTCCAGCATGACGCCGAGAAACTCCTGATCGGGTTCAGTCTCCAGGATGATCGGTTTTCCGTAGAAGCCTTCGCCAAGTAAGACTTCGTACGGTGACAGGTCCTTGAGGCGAGCGTCACCAAAGATGAGTCGGTTGTTGACATATCGGATGTGCTTGATAAACAGGTGGTGGCTTGAGAGAGCCTGTTTGAAGTTGATGGAACAAATTTCCTCACTGATGGAGACGACCATGAGACAAAGTGCTGGAGACAGTGGGCTTCCCATATGGCTGCCTCTGTGTTGTCGAATGCAATGTTGGCCCAATGCAAAAGTTTGCATATCCAATGCTGTCTTGAGAAGGGATGGTACATCTTTGATCACGATCTTTCTTGTGACGTTGAGTCGACGGAAAGTCCGACCCTTGATAAGATCTCCTGCGTTGTTGGATTTTCCCGGATAGACCGAGAAGACTTCATTGCCATCAACCTTCATGTGAGGATGCAGGAAATCCAGAAGCATGTGCCACGCCCCAATAAATCTTGCTTGGTCAATGCTGGTGAAGAAGCCGGCCAAGCTTTGGTTGATGAGAATGAGGTTTCTGTCAACCAGGGCTGCTCTCAAGATTGACAAGAGGGTGTATACATCTCCCGTAGCAAAGTGGTCTGGGCAGGACACTGGGATGAGTTGGAAGATCTTCTCGCAAGGATGTTAAGCATAGGCCGAAACGGGGAATCCACGAAGGATATGATGGGGCGGCCACTTTGGAATGCTTTCTTTTTTTTGGCCAAGATGTATCCCGCAGGAAGTTGACGTCCTTTACCAGTGGCCCAAGGGTAAGACTTGCCATATTGCTTGGTCAGCTGTGAAACGAGTGCGTCGACAATTGCGGAAGGTTGTTGATTGACGGGTTCAAAGATTGAAGGGTCAATGAAGGTATTTTCAATCGCTTGATAATAAAGGCACGGACAGTAGATTCGGAGTGAAGAGGCTTCTTTGTCTTCACGGTGAAAGATGGCGCCTTCCAACAGGTGTTGGAAGGTGGTGATGGATGATTTTGTGATGTGACATGTGACCTCCTGAGTGTGTTGTTGCCATAGGAGTTGTGCGAGGTCGACGATGTCTTGGGACGGGATGGACGGGAGACCATTCCGTTTCGTCCACTGATGCAAGCCAAGTTTCAGATTGGCTTGGTAGTCCTTCTTGGAGGGACAGGCTTTGTTCAGCAAGGAGCCTTCTGCAACGACGGCAAGGTCTGCGGGAAGCAGGTCATGAAGGAGTGACCCCGCCAGGGCCCAGTGTGGGTCTGATGGGTTAAGAGCAGCTCTTTTGTATTTGGACCAGAGTTGGCAGCAACATATGGCGTCAGTGCGGGTGGACCATTGAGAGATGGCCTGTTTGTGGTCGCAAAGTTGGTCCAAAACCGCTGCGTGTTTTACAAACACCATTTTGAAGGACGACATATGGCAAGGGACTTGGTAAGCCAGAACTTGTAGGTGCCATTTTCGAAGAAATTGTTTTAAGGATTTTAAGGTGCGTTGGAGGTTTGGACTCAAAGGCCAAGGAGCCCGGAGGGCAGAGGCACCTGGTGCCGGTTTCCCTTGCCACCATTTGATGGAGGCATCGATGGCTTGAAGGGAGAGGGTGCGGTAGGGCTCCTGGATGTTGTTTGCCAAACGGCGTAAAGCAAAGCACAAAGTGAGGCCACCATCATTGGACCGGAGCATTTTGGTTTGCTCAAATCGTGCTTTTGTGTTTGGCCCCAGAGCGTGAATGATAGTCCAAAGTTCCAATCGGTGTTGAAACCGTTCCGAGGCTAAGATGTCTTTGGCGACCTGCGGAGTGTTCTTGTGTTTGGATCGACGCCAGAGGGTGGCAACTCCAAACGGGGCATTGGTGTTCATCGCAGGTTTTTGAGGATGCCTTTCCGTGGATGGAAGAACTGACATATGAATGGGTAGTTCAGGCGTGGTTGCCATTCTTGGATCAAGGCCAGCTCAAGACATCGATAGTCCGTTCTTTCCGTGTAAATTGGGATTGGGCCCCAAATATACAAGTTGTCGTGTTCTTTCCAATAGCGAAGAGCCAGTTGAGCCTGGGCAAGTCTGTCTTTGGTGAGTTGGAAAAATTTTCTGGAGCGACTGTATTCGCGGCTCAAGAGTATGATGCATGGCAGACCCAATATAGAATTTGGGCTGCATGTTCATAATATGTGTGAAACGAAGATCCAACACATTGAGACTGGAAAAATGTTTGAGCAAAAAGGTTGTGGGCTGTGAGTGTAGATCCCCACAAGTGGGTGAGATTGGCACACCCTCTGAAAATTGCTTTTAGCTTCTGTTTGGGTCGGAGACCATGAATGACTGAGAGCACCATCATACGGATTTGGATGATGCGAAAGCCTTGAAAAAGAGAAAGCGTGGAAGCCATGGTGAAGGGTGTCAAAATGTAGATGACCAGAATCATCGAATGAAGAGCTTGCAAGTGGGATTGAAGCACCTTGTGCTGGAGCTTTCTTCGAAGCTGGGGAGCTAGTCAATTGGACATGCTGATGGCCGCTGTCATCGCCCGTAGGAGATTGGTAACATCATAGTTTTTGCTCATGAGGCTGACCGGGATGCCCATCATGACTGCGACGCGTTGAACCGTTTCAAGGGATTCAGCTGGTTGCCGTCCCCACCATGTCTCTGTCTTGGTAATGTTGGTGGTCAGCACGGCACGTTGTGCCTCAGTGATTGGAAGATCCTTGCGCCACTTTTCAAAAGCTCGGACAGCCAACGTACTGTTGTCAACCAGCCATTGGTTGGTTGTGGTGGGAAGGGTGAGTAGGCATGCTGGTTCAAAGGCCGGTGGAGCAGGTGTGTTGGAGCTATTCATGGGTGCCCATTGAATGGGAGCTGCAGCGGGGCTTGAACTGGATTGACCAGGTCGGGGAGGTGTCGTGTTGTCGCTGATGTCTTCCCCTGTACGTTGACGAAGTTCAGCCAGTTGATTCCGGAGCTGAGTGATCTCATGTTGGGAATCTGGATCCGTGGCTCTGGCCGGTAACCATCCTTGGATCTGTTCTGCGATTTGTTGCGCAGCATACTTGGTGTTGGCCGTCTTGTCCAACAGTTTCCCATCCTGTCTGGCTCGTAGATGCGAGACCCTGTCCAAGTCGATGCCACGGTTTCTGAGCTGAGTCAAAAGTTCCGTCGTGAACACCACCGCAGCAATGTCCCCTGTCGGGATCAAATATATTTCACGACCGTGAGCCAACTTCCAAAGCCAATGGTTGTTGGCCTGTTGATACATAAGGGCAGCCAGCGGCAATGATAGAGGGTCACATCCCTCAATGTCAAGCTTTTGCGTGAAGGCTGACTGACGGATGGATCTGGGAAGAGTGAGCCCGTTGATCTTTTGATTGTCGTAATCGTAATGATCACGATCTTCTTGCCAGTGTGGATTGAGATCGAAGCCATAAATTCTGGTGGCCTCATTGTTGTTCGTCTTTGGTGCTTGACCAGAGTGTGGAGT